CTTTTAAGAGGTAATAAAAATTGACTCTATGACAAACTAAAACATTTGTTTATAGCTGTTAGAAATTGCAGCACTACGTAAGTAAAAAGGGGGTGACAACACAAGACACTCCCAACAGCTTTATTGTTTTAACTGAGAAATGGTATTCATATGCTCTGCCTCCAAGGGATCATGTTAGAGGGAGCAGATTCATCTGGTCCTGCCCTACCTAGAACATCTTGACTTCATAAACACCATCCCAAATCTGTTCAGGGGAAGCAGTATATATTAATTTCCAGAAAGGGGTGGGGAGGGGGGCTTATAAAATTCTGTGTTTAAAATTGTTTCAAGTTGCAGCTACCACAGTTCCTACATCACTGCTGGCAGAAAGACAAGAAAAACATACAGAAGATTCTGGATGTGGCTTTAAGCTACTTCAAGAGGATCATGGGGTGTGTGTTTTGTTTTTGCAAGCCAGAATTTTTCCATTGTGGATCAGGAGTGATGGATTAGAATGGCTCCAAGAGCTGTCAGCTAATATCTACACTGCAGCAAGATCAGACAGTAGCAACCTCTCTGGAATGCTGTGACAATTTCTGGCTGCTGCCATGAGAACTACAGGTCATGCTTCCATGAGAGGGTTAAAAGCAGGAACCTAAAGTTTAAGTAGGAAAAGGCACCCTGACTGCATAATCTTCTGCAGAATAGGAAGAAAACATTCAGATGATAAATCACTGATAGCCTCTTGGAGATTTTGCACACTGCTCTACTTTCTTGGGCACTCTGATGAGTGGCACACTTGATGCCACTGTATTTTCTTGTTACATTGGAACAGCTGCATTCAGGTGAACTGAGAACAAGGCCAGTGTCACAGTTATCAGTGAGGGTGACTAAGCAGGTCACTCGGTTATGCCTTGGGACCTGTACTCAAGTTCAAGGGTTAAAAAAAAATCTAGGCAATTCCACATACTTGCTGCACCTCTAATTTTACTCTGCATTGAAGACACCCATTATCCCATGAAAATAAGGCACTCAACAGGTACCAAATCACTCATATTGTAAAGCATAATGAAGTTGCTGAAATTCTAGTAAAACACTGTTTGTACCACAGGAAATGTTCTGCAAAGAATGTTAAAAGTTCAGCCATCACAATCTCAGCAACAAGAAATGTACTTCTTAGGCATTACAGTCAGGTATGAAGGTTATGACTTTGGGAACCAGATGGCCATTTAAAGCAGTGATTAGCTTTCTAGTCCACTTATCTGGATGCTGGCATCCATTCTTAAACTTTGCACCCATTAGAGGAAGGAAACCACAATCAGTAGTTGTGTGTGCTGGTAACCCAACACGTGTTAAGAAAAGGACTATGATATTTGAGCCAGTGGGTGATACTTGTGGGAGGCTTGAAATGCATGTGGTCATGGAAAGAACAAGGCCGTAAACTATTATCTACACCCAGAAAGCCAGAGGGAGTGCAGACCAGTGTGGGAATTCTGCCTCAGACATGGCTGTGCTGTGCAAATACTGGGGCACACTCTGCTCCTGGAACCGGTAAACTGAGGAGTACATGCCATTGGAAGGCAAGAGTTTTGCAGAGTAAAATTCTGGGAAGACAAGTTGAGATAAGGCATTCATGCCTTCGCACACCATGAAAAGAGTCTTGGGAATCATAAATGTAAGAGCAACAAAAGTGCTCAAGCACAAGAGCAGCAGGATGGGACTGGTGGAGCTGTAGCTGTTTGGAAGAAAAGCCGAACTAAAGCACACATCCAAGTCAGAAGGTGTAAAGTGCACAGGCCTACTGTGCTAAATACCTCACCTTGTGCCAGTAGGTTTGCTTCAAAACATGACAGATATTTGAAGTAATAGTTAATAAAAGATCCATTAACCTGCTCACAGTTACACTTCTCTTTGGGTCTTAGTTAAATTCCAGTCCACACAGATTTATACAAACTGCCTTTACACCATCACCTTGGAAAAATTTTTTTTTTACTGTGTAAGATATCTGCATCAAGCTGAAATTTTTTGAACCACTTTAGCCAATATCTTGATAATTTCTGCACATGGGATAAGGATATGTGTGGGGAAGTTTAATTTGCACTGAATATTCTGATGACAACTCCTTTAACTAAGCTTTCTGTGTTTTAAAGTAGGGAATAGAAGCCTGACAGGAGAGGGAGGGCATCATAAGAGAATGATACAATGATTGATTCCTCCATATGAAAATTTGAGCCTTTGGGCCAAGTTACAAATCCTCCAAAAAATTACAGCCTGTTACATCTGTTAGTGATTAACAGCTGAAATTTTACATTCAATGAAAAAATTAATGCTTTTTAGCGATATCCAGATTGCCTATATAATGACCTCAAAGAACTGCTAAGAACTTGTCTGTCTTTTGAAAATGTTTGTATGTGAGCCAGTAGGGTGTATACAAGCCCCAAACCACGTATACATTACAGGGCTTCAGGAAAAAACACTGGCTATTGTGAGCAGAAGTGAGACTTGACAACAGCATGACTGGAGTAGGAGGCAGGGAGGGAGTGAATGTCAGAGCTGAATACCCCTTGTGGATATGAGAAACAGGACACTAAAGGAAGGAGGAAAGGGAAATCACACTGGAAAGCCACACTCCTCATAAGAGATCTATAAATTCTTCAATCTAAAGTTGTTAGGTTTTACAGGCATGACATCTTTTTACGTGAAATTGCAAAACACGCAACAAGATCCCTCTTGACATGTCTTAGGGGAAGAATGCAGAGCTGGGCAGCCTACATAAGACAGAGTGTGGGCCAAGAGCAAGGCCTGAATCAGACAAGAAGCAAACATGGTAGGATAGAGGATGAAACAAAGGAAAACTGGAGGAGTGTTCAGGTGTCATGGATCTCTATGTCCTAGGGGGCATGCTGCCTGTAATTTAGCTGCTTCCCAGATCTTGTATCAAAGCCTAATCTGGCTGACCACTGTTCCACTCTACAGCAGAGAAAGCCTTGTGCTCTGAACTCAGAGCCAAATCCAGACATTGCAACATCCCTGTCATGTTTTGTCACCCTACCAGAAGATATTCTGTGCCTCTCAGGGAGGACATTTCCTATAACAGACTCAATGCTTCATCATTAAAGGATATACAAGTCATATTCTCCGGGTTTTATTTGGAAATCATGGGAGCAAGGCTCTTTTTAGGTTCTGGGAGTCTGGACTTAGGTTACTCAGAATCAGTTGGGATTTATGGCCTCTAACTGTTTTACCACTTTTTTGACTCCTATTCCTGAAAAAACATTCTCACCTTTTCCTCTTGCTTCCTAAGATGAGATAGGAGGAATAGGTGACTTGGGTCTTGCCAGTCCAGCATGCCTCCCTGTGATCTGTTGCTGGCTGCTCTTGTCTCTTCACCTGTGCCATATCACTAGCAGAGACCACCTCTGTGAGCAGGTTGCATGTTAAAGAAGACATAACTGCAATAAATATTAAATGACACATCAACATGTTCTTCCAGTCATTCTACCAGGAGCTGTGAGGAAAAACCTGTGGGAGAAAAGCTGCAACAGAAATGCAGGCCTATTTAAAAGTGTGGAAGGGTAGAGGCAATGACCCACAAATTTGGTGAGGTGAAAGGATAACTTGTATGCTTTCCTGGAGCTTATTTCTGGGGTATCTACAGTTCTCGAGAGTTCTGTGTCACCTATTAGCAAATATCCCAGTCATTACATTTTTTTTTCTAGTCCACAAAAAAGCTGACATCTAACATTTAATATAGTAGCTCAGAGGTGGGGAAACTGGTCATAAGTTTGGGTAATTAATATTTGTTGTTAATATGGCACCAGAATGCAGAACACCTGCCTCCATATTTAATTTGCTACCTGGGGTGAATGGATTGTTTTTCTTTTTGTTTTAGAACAATTCTAGAATAATACTAAATTTGTGACATGGCCTACAGCACAGTTAAGATTACACTGTTAGACCTGCTGTTCAATAGTGTGCCTTCCTACCACACTATTGCAATTGTATGCAATAAAAAACTATTAGGCTTTGTAACTACGTAACTCGATGTTCTTTTGCTTCCTAGCAAACCTTTACTCCATGCACTCTCTAGACTGGGTGGTGGATATGAGGATGAAGCACTGCTGCCCATCAGCAGGGAGCCTGGTCCCTGACCTGTAACGTCAGCAGGGTCTGATTGCCTGACATGAGGACCTTGGAGTACACGCCAGCCGGTGCCGCTGGACTGCGGATCTCAGCGCGCCAACATGCGACGGAGCTCAGCTTTGCTCTGCTCTCTTATCATCGGTGTGGGTGAGCTTATGAAGGTAAACTGCTCTGCAGTACAACTGCTGCTGCCAGCAGGTGAGGTGTATGTAAAAAGGCAACAGCTAACTGGATGGGTGGGAAAGGTAAGGCAGCATGAACTCACAGTGCCCCACATTACAGAGTCCTTACACCAGCAGGAGGCAAAAAGACACCCTGGGACCTCTGCCTGGCTCAGGTCAGAAACCAAATTTCTTCCCTCCTTCCCTGCTTAGTGGTTTTTCAGTCAAATTTATTATAGCTTTATTTTCTTAACCCGAGAAGTATGCAGCTGAAATACATGGCATACTCTGGCACTGCCCTCAGAGCAGGTGGACTCAAACACCATTTGTATTCATACCAAACTATAAACTGCTTGTGCCTATCACCAGGATGAGGGGGGAAATAGTCTTGCAAAAGACTGAATGACTGAGGCTTCCCTGTTAAATGCTCATAGAACAAGCCCAATGTGCTATTTTGCATCATAAAACTTACGAAGAAGTAAATCCATCCACACAATAATGAGGCATTATGGCTCATTAGAGGCTCAGCTTGCAAAGTCCAAAGTGTACAAACAGAGGCATATAGGACAAATCTGAACTAAGCACTGTACCCTGCTCTCTGCCTGAACCAACCCTTTACATGTCTCTGGTAAATGATTTATAAACCTAAAGATAACAAAGTATAAGACTGTATCACTCTCTTCACTTTACAGACTAAACCTTTCTGAACAATTTGCCATGTCTCTGAAAATGTCTCAAATTTTGGTGTCTGCTCTGCTGTTTACAGGTAAGTGCTTGGCATCCTATCTCATGTCATTCCCTTCATGCTTGTTAAATAGTCAGCTGGCAAAACCCCCTGCACTAGAACAGCACCAAGGGAAGAGAATTAACTGGAAATCACTACAGCAGGGACATACAGGAGAGTGGGTGAGAGCAAGATTGCATGGCAAATTCTGTGAAATACAGTTTGATTCTGCTCCTTGTGACTACTTTTGAGCCTTTTACTGTTCATGTATAAGGAAGAAGGATGCATTTCTGACTGAAAGGCATTCTTACAGGATGATTTCCTGAACTGTTAAAATTGTAAAGAGAGATTGATGCTGTTTCTACAAAATCTTCTTTAAATATTATTCTCAACATTTATTGTTTGTAGGAAACAATTTCACATGCATTTATAAGGACCCAAAATAATCTATTTCACAAGTGATTTCTGGAATACCTGGCTTGAATTTCTTAAGGAGACTGATTGTTTTAAAGCACCCAGGCTGTCTGGCTGCTGATCCTTCACAGCACTGTGTAACCAGAGCATCTACAATCAAGACTCAACTTGGACCAAAGGGAAAATGGATGGGGCAGGGCTACCACATGCTCTTCCCAATGCAGCACATGCTGGTAGAGTCAATGATCAGTGATGCTCATGCTGCAGGATTAATTTGTTTCTCACAAAATTAGAACAAACCAGGCAGGCAGTAAGTGACAGCTGACTTCCCAAGTGATTGCCTGCATCTTGACAAGATGGTCTATCCACATGCATGCATTAAAAGCATTTCTTAGATTTGAGTACTCCAATAAATACATGATGTGAGTAGCTAAGGCAGAATGAGGGAGACAATGATTAATTGTGGATTATTGAAAAACATTTTGTAAATTGGGACCACAGTCAGGTACAATCTCTCTCATGTATTGAATTCACTTTCATGCCATATGAACCTGAGTTTTGGCTGCTGTGAGGCTCTGTAGGGAAACAAGGAAAGGGAAAGGGACTTTGTCTCTTCTGCAAGTTTGAGCTCACCTATAAACCTTTTCCCCTTATTTGTCCTTCCTGATCTGCAGTTGAACTGGTACAATTTCTGAGTACTTGCCTATCTTCTTGAACTTCACCTCCTTTCCACTGAAAGACATTTATAGCACAAACAGTGTCACCTGAGGCCAAGCTGGGAGCACAGCAGCTTGCAGCCCCTCCTTTTGGAAGATTTTACTTTCATCTCTTTTGTCTCTTGTCTTGTTTACCCTCTTTTTCAGGTTTCTATTCTCCAAAATACATGCAGAACTACTTATTACTGGTTTATAGTGAGCTGTTAAAAATTTAATTGATCACAATCAGTTCAGTTTTTCATTAATTGGAAATCCTTTCAGCAACAGTGGTGGGGAAGTAAAATAGAGATTGTAAGACTGTCATGAGAATCTTATTTTTCTTCATGCCCTCAATTCAGCTACTATAAATCACTCCTTATAGTAAACCACGGTCACAGTGCTGGGAATAGGCTTTCTGGACCTTTTGCTTTAGCCTCTGGAGAGTGCAACAGCAAGGGATGAGGTGGGAGTGTGATGTTTTGGCACTGAGATAATTGCTGAAGTCTCCCAGGTGTCTGAAGGGGGTGTTCTGCCACAAATGGATGTAGAAAGGAAATCTCAACAGGACCCACATAGTGGACCAATGGACTAGTACTTTTTCTAATGCTCTGCTGCAGTGGAAGTAGCTCCTTCCCTAGGACTATTTAGGATTTTTGCCAAATTGCCTTGCTATTTACCCATGCCTGAAAACTGTCCTGACCCCTGGCATCATCACACACATACTATTGAACACATATGTTCAATAGCTAATTCTGCATTAAGTGTCTAACTTCTCTGCCTTTGCTGATGAGGGAATGAGGCTGATGCTATAGCTCTAAGGATTGTTAATGACATCTCTTTAACCAGAGAAACCTTTGTGTCCTGTGATATAAAATTAAGACTTGTCAAAGAATAAAATCTATTTTACTTCAAGCTTGAAAAAGAAACAAAGGCCAAAATTTCAAAGACTGGGTGATATAGAAAGAATTGAAGAACTTAACCAGTGACTTTAAATCTTGCTGTCAACAGATATTAGCAAATCTGACCAATTTAATTCTATTCTAAGGCTTACTACCATCCAAACACTCCAGGATACAAAGCCTATGTACATGTGGGAGGATGGATTATAGGAGAATAGAGATAGTGCTGAAGGCAATCTCACCCTTGAGAAGTTACAGCAGTATTAATTACCAAAGAGCGTGAACAGGCCTGACCTTAACATGCCCATTCTTAAGGATGGGTGTTATAAAAGAGTGGGTTAGCAGACAAAGAGGGGAGCTGGGGCTTGTTGGCTGTGCTGTGAGGAGCAGTAAGGGTTAGGTGGTCATGCAAGGGGCAGGAAGGAGTCAGCTGGTTGTGCAGAAGGAAGAGTAAAGGAGTTGGTGTTATGAGGAGCTGCTTGTGGGAACTCACAGAGAGAAGGTATGAAAGATTTATAGTAAGATGATAAACTTACGGTGACAGTCAGATTGCTGCCAAGCACCCATGCCAACAATTGGTGGCCCATACGGGGATGAGTCCTGACATGTACATACAAACATTTAAAAAAATAATTTGAAAAAAGCAATGTGCAGGTGTTAACATGTTAACGCAACTACACTTTTCAACTGAAAAAAAGGTGATATCTGGGCCAGAGTTGGCTTGCAGAAACCGCAAGTCTGTCTTACTGCAATCCAGCCACCTTATGCAGTGTGCTGACAGCTGCATCTTGATTTCCATGGAATGGCACATAATCTAGATATATACTTGAATGAGGAGAGAAGCAGCTGCTGCCACATTCTTTTCAGCTGTTGCACTGTGGTATTCTGAGTCCTCAGACTGAGTTCTGTGGTCTGACTTTGTGAATTTGGATTTAGAAAGTCAGATAGCTGAAGCATGGTGGGGAGGTGGTCCATTCTGGTTCATTTCTAGTCTTAGGAAACACACCTGAGCTGCAGACTTGATTTACTTTTCAAAGTTTCTAACACATCAGCACCTGCCACCTCAGCAAGGTTGAAGTTTAGCTCTGTCCAAGTTTAGCTTCTGTCCAAGCTCTGTCCTAAAGGGCTGATAAGACTGACAGCCTTACCTCCATGAGATGAGATTTTGACCAGAGTCACCATAGCCAATAATAAGAAGAGTTATTAGACCTAAAGGAAAGGAGCCAGAGCAATTGCCAACTTTTGACATTTAAATTACATTGCTATTAACTTAAGCAATATGTTTTCAAGTTGTCAGAGACTTGCAAGTCTTCAGAAGCTAGGGAGAAACAATAGTGTGCACAGAGAGCATTTCAAGTGCTGCTAAATAGTTGTCAGGTTTTTTGTAAATATCACAACAAATCAGAGATAAAGCACTTTTCCCTGTGGTAGAAGCACACCAGGGTTAAATTTTGGTCCTAAGCCTAGCGATTGCTCCTTGCCACTTATACAATAGTGCTGATCTGGATAAAAACAGGCTTTGGGGTAGAGAATGGAAGAAGAAGCATATCCTATACTAAGGCAAGTTTGAAGATTTGTCTTTTTATAATTAAACTCTGCCATTAGATGTGCAAATTGTGGCCTGCCTGCTCTCCGCAGAGTACCAAGCACTCAATGGCTCTTGCTACTTAACTTTTACAAAAGAAAATGTATATCAATTAAATAGGTCCCTTAGCAGGCAATTGTGTCAAAACTTAATCCCATACTCACCTTTTTGATTGTGTGATGAAGTGGATCACTGCACATTCAGTGGACAGAAAAAGATGTCTTCCTGGGGAGATTTTGTGGCTGCACCCAGCTGAGTATGTTGCTTTCTAGAAATCTATCCTTGTAAAGAGAAATATGCTTCCATTCAAGTCTAGGATGAAGAGATTTTAAAGCGCAGTAATTTAAAATGTATCCAGGTTGATTTTCTATTTTGAGTGCAGTTTGCTTGCTATACTGTGATATTTTTTATTGTTACTTTGACATTCCAAGATATTAAATACGCCTTTTCATAATCAGACTTTTGTCATTGGCTTGGGTTTATATATATATTTTTAATATACTCAATGCTGGATTAAGTGCACATTTGCTTTTTTGACAAAGATGGCAATGTTGTATTACCATCTCTCCTCAGCTTTAGTCTTAGATCATAGTAATCCAAAATTAGATGCTCAGTAGACATGGTAGCAATAATGACTTCTAACAGTTTTCCCTCTGGACAATGTCTTTAGGTGCACAGGATAGACAAAACTATCGCTGAAGGCAATAATAACATGAGCTAAGCATCTGCTTGCTAAAACCAGCCAATTTTTTTCTATAATTTGCTTTCCTTGTGAGAACGCTGAGCGAATCTCCAGGAGACTATGAAAGGAAACATTCTAACTGGTAACAGCTGATACAACCTCAGCAACAGTTCACCCTCCACACACATTCCTCCTACTTTCCCACTGGGACATTTATATCTAAAAGTACTTTTCAAATATATTTATCTAAGAGATGAAAACAGTATTGAATAATAAATAAAAAAAAACCAACAAGAATATACAACATGTCTGGTTGATCTTTATGGCGAGTTAACTGTTTCAGTACAACTTGAGGTTCTTAATTTTTTGCAGCTCAACTTTACGCACTATGAGCCATTTTATTGCCATCATCTACCTGCTCCTAACTCCCTCTAGTCTCACATTAGATGCTCTGAAATTCCAGTCTCCTGGTTTGTATGCTAATCTTCTACAAGACACACTTCTTCAGGAATAGTCAGTGTTTATAAAGAAAATCCTTCCACAATGTTTTGCTAATTCAAAAGGAAGGGGAAAATTATACCCAGTCCAAGAAACTTAAATTGAGGCAAGACATAGTTCATTTGATGAAAACTCTACACTGTATTCAGAGGGGCTACTCAGATGGAGACAGCTGGTCTGATGACCCAGGTCTACATTAGAGCTAAGTGAAGACCTTGCTTTCTCTGAGCTCTGCCAGAGAAATGTGCAGCCACACCGAAAGACCAACACAGCTAATTCTGGTTATGCTAGAAATCATCTTGCTGGAGTTTTTCCAGAGGTGAATGAAGTTTGCCATGTTCAGAGACTTATTGTGATATTTACAGCAAGATGGAGAGAGAATGAGATAAGGCTGAAGGATTAGATTATTAATATAAAGGCACTTACCTGATTTTCTCTTAGTACTTCTGCATTTTTGGAGTGCCCCAGCAGCTCGGGACAAGTTCTGCAGAGACAGCTCCCAGGAAATGAAATAGCAGCTAGAAAAGAATAAGAACTGGGTGTCAGCGTTGACAAGAAAAGCCAAGAGCAGTGCTGGCATACCTGCCTCTCCTCAAAGCAGACAAGTGCACATCAATCAAAGTGAATACTTAGCATAGTTAGGGGTGGCATTTCTCATTGGATACAGATGCAGCCAGAGCAGGCTATATATTAAGAATTGACATATAAGACTCTGAAGATACAGCTCTCTGCACCACAGTAGCCAAGACAACATGTCACTGTCCCACCAGTGGAATGACAAGACCACTTTTGAAGATGCTGGCAGCAAGAAAAAAAAATACAAGAAGTAGAGCTGCTTAATTATCTTCTTTTTTTTTTGCAGCTTATTTCAAATTTGGAGGGCCAGAGCACATAATGGTGATAAAATGTAATGTTTAATGGCCCTTAAAACTATATGTACATTTAAAGAAAACAGAAGCATTTTAATGAGTCTATTTCTGATCCCAGCTCAGTTATTTCAGTCCAGAAATGTAATCATAAGCTTACAAAATATTTAATACAAAAAAAAATTCCCCAAATTCCCTAAAGAGAAATGAACAGCTCATAGATTTTTCTATTGGACAGTAGTAAATTGCCAGAAGAATGTTGAAATTTGGCACAAGCTTAGTTTTCTCTCGTGCAGCTCTAGAATACAAGTACAGCAGCTTAATAGACATATGCATGAAGTACATTTTCTTCTTTCGCAGCCTTCCACCAAATGTCTGAATTTACTTTTTTTCATGGAGTTAGTAACATTTTTTTAAGATGGTATTCCTTGAAATCTCCCTACCCTAAAACTTCTAACTCCCATTTTTGATTATAGTAACTTAGAATATGAAGAAATTGAAGTAGCAAGGAACTACTGGGACTGTGATTGCTTACTAAGTAACTTTTCTAAAGTACTATTTGATGTCTATATTAAGAGCAAAGATTACAACCATCCTCTTTTTTTTTTTTTTTTTTTTTTTTTTTTTTTTTTTTTTTTTTTTTTTTTTTTAACACA